ATTAGTTTAAACAATGTTGTGTGTGTGTGTGTGTGTGTGTGTGTGTGTGTGTGTATATATATGTGTGCATACTATATATATGCTCATGGATATAAAGGATTACAATTATTTCAGTATATTGCTTTTATTGATTGTTTCAGGGAGTGAAAGGATGACCATAATGGACTAAACTATCTGTTCTTGAATTTATGTAAAAACAAATTGCATGACTTACAATGTACTTGTAAGACTTTACATCCTTCTACTAAGTGCATAACTGTAGAGAAAAAAATACAAGATACTGGAAACTGTTTTCATACACTTTGATTTTAATGCTACAGGCTTTAGATACTTATTCTAGACAAAGTTACCTGATGATGTATAACTATCCAAAATGATGCATGTAGGTTCAAATTACTATTACAACGTAAATAGGAATACATTAAATACTGTGGTTGAAGAAAAAGATCTTGGTGTTGTGTTTGAAAAATCACTTAAGTCATCTAAACAGTGTATTGGAGCTAGCAATAGCACTAATAAGATTTTAGGTAGCATCTATAGAAATATTGAATGAAAGCAAGGAATATTATTGTTTCACTGTATAGATCACTTGTAAGGCCTCATTTAGAGTACTGTGTACAGTTTGGGCTCCCTTCCTCAAGAAGGACATTGAATTGTTAGAGAAAGTTCAGAGAAGAGCCACTACGATGATACCTGGTATGGTGGGATTGTCCTACGAGAAGAGACTTAAATCTCTAAACTTCTTTTCTCTGAAGAGGAGAAGAGGCAAAGGGAATTTGATTGAGGTGTTCAAGATTATTAAGGGTATTGATAATATAGATCCATCAAACTTTTTTGTGTTTAGCAGTGAAAACAATAGAACTAGGTGTCATAAATTCAAATTTGGGCAGCATAGGAGTTGTCTGCAGTTTAGACAGTATTACTTTTCAAACAGGGTGGTTAGTTTTTGGAATAAGTTTCCTTCAAGGGTGGTGGAGGCACAAAAGTTAACTGAGTTCAAGAAAAGGTTGGATGAATACAAGTAGTAAGGGGTGGTTATAGCTGGGAGATTGAAGGTACATCCTTGAGGAGATAATAAGCTTCTTTTTGTCCCTTTAAAATTTTTTGAATTTATGATTAACTTGTTGCAAAAAGTTACATTCAAATCTGTAGTGTTAAATGGGTGGTCAGGTAACTGATGGACCAACTACAGCCTTTTATCACCCATTTAATTCTTATTGCATAAACATTAAATAGAATTGACAAAGAAAAATTCCAAATTATATTTCAGTTCCCAAATTATTACTCTGATTACAAGATTAAAACTCATAACATTGAGCAAACTGTTCTCATACCTTCTTACTAAACAGAAATGAATGAGGTGATACAGACATGTCTGTAAATTCAACAATGGCTTTATTGGTTTTAAATGTTCTTAAAGAAATACATGTTATCAACCTTTACAGCTATGTTTAACTATTAGACTGGTGCATTTAAATATAAACATTTATCTTACAATTACGTTTTACAGTCACATTATTTCCTCTGATATGATTATCACAGGTTTCACTTTCTGTTCTATTCAAATATCTTCTACATAAATATAAGTAATTTAATAATTATTATACACATAATACGAGTACATCTTTAGGGGGAATACCATAAATTTTCAAGCAGTTTAACACAGTTGTTAAATGGTGAATTTCAAGTATTTTATATAACTGGATATGTATTTATTTTATGTTCAATAAATTGTTTGAATGTTACTGTAGCAACAAGCTTTTAGACAACAGTGCAATCTTGTTATACACAAAAAATCTGATGTGTTACTAAAGTTTTTGTATTAAAGATAGGTCTGTGAAATGCCAAAGTCAGTCTGACACTCAGACTCTGACATTTCAAAGTGCAATATGATGTTCATGTGAAAAACAAAAACACTCTTGTCAATCACACATTTTGCAAATTCTATTTGCAATAACTTCAACCTACTGAGTGCATATCTAAAGTTTTTTTTCAGTATCCTTGTATATTATATCTAGTATTTTTTGTACTCTAACACAAATTGTTGGAAAATCAGCAATGTATGTAAAATGAAAGACTGATAACTTGGACATCAAATTCATACCACGTTGAATGGCTATGTACAAGTTTGAGACATGCACACTTTGATCCACATTTATGCACATAGAGTTAAAGCCTTAATTTGAAAATTATTAATAAGGTCTTATAAAAAGCAAGCCCATTATGGATGAGTAATACAAGAAATTAAAAAAGCTAAATGCATATTACAAAATGAATAACAGTGCATAATATCTAATGTTTAGAATATAGTAATACAATATCAGTCATGTAACCTCATTGTGAACAGTATTTTGTGCCATAGCCAAACAGCATCTTGCAAAATTTGACCAACATAGGAGATTTAGATTTACAAATCAAGTACTTTCTTACAAAGAGAAAGTAGAATTAAAAAAAAAAAATTGTGGAAATTTAGTGTGCAAGTTTGTTATATGTGGAACTGATAAAAAATATGATAATGGAGTCTAAGTTGGTTAGATATTATGTTATATATTCACTGACAGATATTAAATCAGTAGCCAAATCCAAGCAATTTCACCAAAAAATGTACTATTTAAGCTCCTACAGAACACTTTTACAACATGATACAATATTTATACCCAAATGTGACACACAACATATGGTTAAAATCATAAAGCTGTTCTCTTCCTAGATCCAGTGACAAGTTTGACTACTTTACTTTCCTAAAGGCTAAACATACTTGTTATTACAGTTCTCGAAATGAAAACAGTAGTTAGATATCTTAAATGCCAAACAATAGTAAAGAAGGCAATACCTTTTAATTATTACGTAGATATATAATTGACAATGATATATTAGTAAATACTACTTGTTTAGTCAGTAAGTAGCAGTGCTGCACACAGGCGGATTGATTTTACAAATTGCATTTTAATTATTAGAGTATAACTAACATATACAAGTCAAAAGTTTATTTAAAATGTTTAAAATCTGTTAAAAAAGAACTGGTTCGAAGTAATGGAAAAATCTCACCTGGAAAAGTAACCCAATAACAAAAACCATAGCAACACACGAGATAATGTCAGCATGATTTTGAATAACAAATTCGTGACTTAATATTGGAGGATTTTTGGAGGAAGTACGACGCTTGACTACCATTTTCCTGGTGTTTGATAGAAGATTTCGTAAGAATCAGTAGAACTGTAAATAACACAGTAAGCTTACGACAAATAGTAATATATTAAATCTTAGAGTTTATACGGTTCAATTAAAGAACACGTACACAAATCAGACGTCTCTTGACGTAGCCGTTAGATGTATAACAAGTAGCCTACTTGCTGATGTGGAGATATCTACCAAACACCGTGGCAGCAGATTCGCATTAAACTACAATCTTAACTTTTATTGGTTAAAAATAGTGTACATATATTTATTATTATCAATAATTCTTCTCAAGAAACATGTTTCATCAAATACTTTGACATTTCATTCTATATAAATTTAACATGATTATTTAATTCAAATACAAAACTGGAGTAATTTAGCATAATACAAATTTTCGGTCTAAATTGATTGCCCTACTTTAAGTTCAATATATGTATATTCTGTATCTGGGGCACACTACTTCCTGATCCCAGGGTTGATGTGAAGTATCTTTTATTCAAATAAAGTTTGGTAGTAACATAATAATTAAATAGATTCATGCATATTTTATGCATTAGAGAGCAAATGCATCTTCAATTAAATAACTTTTAAAGTAATATCTTTAAGTTATGATACGTTGTACTGGCGAAACGTAATGCTATGGGAGCTTTTGTTGTTTGTTTTTGGAACTTGCATTACAAAAAATGCGGTTTCTCTTAATTAATATATATACACACAATAGTTTAAAGCATAATAATATATATATATGTGATGTCATAATGTATAAGAAATATTTGCTACGATTTATACATATCAAAAAAGAAACAACATCAATAAACACTGCCTTCGTTGTTTAGAATCTATGTGTGGGAAACAGCTGTCAAACTGCTATGTATATTCAGTGATAATTCTCTCCTATCAGTATCCCGTTGCAACACAAGCGACGTGAATTACTTCATTGTTGAGCAAAATCCTCAAAAACACGAGAATGGCATAAAATAAATCACAATAGCAGAACATTTCTACGATGAATACATTTTCATTAATTAAATGATACCGAAATTGACAAACTATGTTACTAACCAACAAGAGGACGTGCAATACAACAATAAGTTAAATTAAAGCAGATGTAAAACTGTTAGAAGCTTCAGGGTGTTTAGGACAGATAATTATAAATGTTTATTACAATTTGCCTGGCAAATTACTGGCTTCTCCATTTTGTCTATCGAAAGTTTGATGTTTGAATAGAGTCTCAGCTATTATAATTATACTTTTCCTTTAGTTAACCTTGGAATACTGTTACGACAGCAGAAGTTACGTGACGCTGCTGGAGCATTCGTGACTGAGTTTCTCGAATTATCGGGGAAGTTCGAGTGTGATCGAGAAGCCCTCTTCGTTAGTATATAAGCCTGGCAGAGAAAGCCAGTGGGGATGTATAAAACAAGCGAACAGTAGTTACGGCTTTTTTCGGGCAATTTACGATTAAGTTTCGAGCTAGTGAGTGTTTTTCACTCGTAGAGAGCGAAGTTATCGAGACGAGATTGTGAATCTCTGTTATTTATAGCGTGTATTATAAAAGTTGTTAAGTTTAAAGTGACGAGAAACGTGCTGACTGTGGAATTACTGTGTACTAAAAATTTGTATCAAGAAAGAATAAACTGGTTTAATGAAGAAAGGACTTGTATAGCTGAAGTTCCTCGAAAGAATTTCTACCGGAAATTAACAAACAAGCAGATATGCAACAATACTATTTTTATGACTAGTTACAATAGAGTAGCATTTTACAATTGGAAATTCTTGTTCTGTTTGTCTGGCTAGTGAAGAAGCCGTATCAAGTGATAAGTTCACTTCCATCTCGATCTTGTTTGGTTCCTTTTTTCAAATTTAGTAGCCAACCCTACATAGTTTTTTTTATTTAGCGATAAATTTTTTCCTAATAATTGTTTGTTTTCTTTTTTATAAAATGGTGTACGTGGGTTATTGTGTTATAGAGCGTATTTTAAGTTTTATAAATTTTGCATAGAGTACAAATATGATAGGTAGTTAAAGGTCGTGAAGACTGTTTTCCTTTATTAAATGATGATAAAATTACAGTTACTGCTAAAGCTAGGTGAGCAATAGGCCTGCTGGAGAAAGATTATGATGAAAGAAAATAAGAAATTTCTGTTTTGGTTATTCGCCTATTTTCGACTTTGGGATTTTCTGGATATCTGAAAACTGAAAAGTGGCTTATAAACCTCTCAATATCTAGCTTCTGATGACCTGCATGTGTATTGATTTTTTTTACTCCTTCATTTAATACATAATATAGGAGTTTTGGCTCCCTAAAGACATCGATTGTATAGTGTATAAAGCATTGAATATTTTACATGTTACAGTCGTCTATTATTGACTGGTAATTCTTGTTTCATCCTGTAATTAAGCTTTTTAAAGGAACACTAAATTTCTTGAAGAAACCTAACTTCAAGGGGTAACAACATGATTTATAGTGTAATTTTCTTTCTTTTGTTAAATTTTCCATAGAAAATTAATAAAATGGGTTGTCAAAAATCATGAGGACTGTTTTGCTTTATCAAATTATGATAAAATTAGAGTTACTAAAAGTACTAGGTAAGCACTAAGCCTGTTGAAGAAAGATTATGATAAACGAAAATAAGGAATTTCTGTTTTAGCTAATTGCCGGTTTTCCACATTGGGATGTTCTGAATAACTGATTGTTGAATCTGTCTCTCGCCTCTAGATTGAGCACATCCTCATCTGGATAGTCGAAAACTGACAGATAAGTACTCTCAGCTCTTACGTCCTTCTCTTCTGGGTTGTATGGTAGGAGATGGCACCCTCATCCTCTTCTGACTTCTAGGTATCTTACTCTGTTTCCTGGTCAATCCAATGCACAGGAGATTCATTGATAATGTACAGACATAGCTGACTGTCATGCACTATCCATCTTTTCATGCTTCTTGACTGGTACTGGTGTAACTCGTATATCAATGGAGGTGCCACATTGGATCACAAGAGAGAAGGTCCTGTTTAGCTAGAACTGAGCTGCTTTTATTCAAATGGCATGTACCAAAGCCAAATCCAGGTTTGATGCTGATATATTTGTGCCTTTAATGTTCTATCATGACACTTTTTCTGACATATGGCAGCCTTTCCTAGCTGTTTACATACAAACTAGTATGCATCAACTAATGAAGACCTTAACCACTCCAAATATTCTTGTGTACACTGTAGGTAGCTGCTCCAGGGCAAGATCATACATCACGTCGACAGGGAGCAGAGTTTTCAAGAATGGTATTAAGGTTTGCTGTCTTCTATGCTAGATTGCATGAGAGTGTTATGAGTTAGTTGTATGTAGAATACTTATTTTGTCTTTCTTTCTTCACGTTTGCTTCATATCCTTTTATGTTAATACTATTCTAATCCATTACACACTCCCCTTCTCTGGAATAATGGTCTAATGTAGATAGATCAGTATTATCAAGTCTTGTGTGGCTATTATATATGTTCCTGAATTCAAATTTTCTTGTTGATCTTTTTTCTCCAATACATTGGAATATACGTTTACAGGGGAGGTTTGAATGGTATTTCCCCTCTCCATTGGGTCTTTGGATGGTTTGGTGTGAACCATCTATGATTGCATTGTGTTGTGGCTTCTGAGTACCGTATGTTTTCCGAGACACCTCTGATACAGAGGATCATCACTGTATTTTCATTCTTGTTTATTTTTAGTGTTTAACATTTATATTTTCTTTATTATAAAGTGCTCTGGGAGGACTATAGTGACATGTGTTGTTGTTTTTATATTGGCTGGGAGTAGTTTTATTTATAGTCGAAGTACTTATCAGTATCTGTAGGTTTCCTGTAAATTCCTGTAGTGTATGAGCCATCTCTCTTGGTAACTATCACTTCAGAGAATGAGAGTTGTTTGTTATCTTTTTCCTTTGCCTTTGGGAATTGTATTGCTGGATGTTATATTTTGCAGGTGGTTCATATTTCTTGAATCTCGTATATGTAGTCGAATTAGGAATAAATAATCAACATATATGAATCAAATCTTGGGGTATAGAATGGCTATATTGAGGGCATTAACTTCGAAATGTTTAATGCAGAAGTTACTGAGTATTGACTATAGGAGTGAGTTCATGACCAGGTCTTATATTATTGTTACTATCTATTTTCACATTAGAAGTAGGTTGTGTTGATAAAGAAGGTCGTGAGTTCTATTATGTGAATATTATAAATTCAGTGCATTTCTTAAGAGTTATATCATTCTCAAGCTGTTGGCAGAATATTTGTAATGTGGTTGTAAAGAGGTTGAATATATTGAAGTTAATCATTGTGTCTTGTGTGATTGTTGTGGTTACACTTACAGTTTCCACATAGTGGACTAAGTAATTAGCATTTGAGAATATTTTACCTATAAATGGTGTTATTATATTAATTGTTAGGTTGCCAGTTTAAAGCAAACTATATGATAAGGGCCCTGTATGGCCCAAGGTAATAGAAGAGGAGCATAGTTGGAAAGAACAGAAGATTCTAGATAGGAGAATCCCAAGCTGTAGTAGCCAAGGACTCCCACCTGAATTAATTTGGTCTTGTTTGCATGATAAGTTTTTAATCCTAACTTAAGTAACAGTTAGTTGCAATTGAACACCTTCACATAAAGTTTACCTTGTGTTTAAACTTCTGTTAAGGGATTTGAGAGTTCTTCAGGTTATTCTTGGACCACTGTAGAACTTGGCTCACTCTTAGGAGTTAAAACTAAATTAGAGATGTTTGTGATAGGGTATGTTTTGTGTGTCCATATGTTTTGGGAATAAAAATCATAGCCAGTTTTTATTTGAAAGATATTTCGTATTTGATTTGTATACCTTTACAGCCATTGTGCATAATGTTTTCAGATTGAAATACACAATCCAACAAGATGACAATAATTAAAAAATACACAAACAAGTACACGCTATTTAGTCATGTAATTTTGTAGCTTGTACACTTAAAGCTTAACTTTTTAATGAAAAGGTTTTATTAACTGTTAGGTCTTCGAGTTTGGTTTATGAAGTCAGTTGTCTTTCATGCAATGCAACAATACCGTATATGAATATGCTTATCTAGTGCTTGTGAAATAATTCAAAATGAGAACTTAATGTCTTTGAAATATAAAGCAAACTTTCTGAATAATTATAATTTGAACATTTTAATAAGTTTGGTATCTGTTAAGAAACGTGGTCTGGTATGAAATT